TGCACTAACCCCTTAAATGTCTGTATCTTTTTAATCAACATTGGAAATTTTAAAGAACCAAGCTAAACCAAATTAAACCTTGTGTCCCACTCAAGTGGGGTTAGCTTAAAGAATGCCCAATTTAGTCCTAGTTGATAGGATCTGGGGATGGGTAGATTGGGTACAGAAACTGTTGGCATAATTTGGACAACCATTAAGATTAATAATCTTTTATGAATGATAGTATCTCAAGCCATACAATTTATCCTAACATCGCTTTTTCACATGAGGTAGATGAATTTATATGGCCTCATACAAGGTCAGGGCATACAATGTTAAATTTACTTAAGCCTTTTTCTAAGTAGTCAAAATTCTCAGTGGTTGGAACCTATGCTAAACCCGCCCCAGATTTGCAATCATGGTTTTCTTGAACCATTTTAAGTTTGGGTTTCACTCTTCACATCGAATTATTAATTGTATTGTTGTATGTGATCTCTCAACCTTTGAACCTAATCTTTAATACTTGTATGCTCTTGAAACTAATCTGTTGCCACTTTTGATGCTTAAATGCAGTTGGTGGTTCCCTAAAGAGATAAAATGACTTCTCTTATAACTTGATGCTTTCATTTTCTTTGTGTAGGTCCAATGGAGTATGACATTGATAACTACACTGGAGGGTTACCAAAATTGAAATATTATCCATATGCAAGGACGAAGGTTAAAAAAACCTTACATGCCTTGCATTGTTTTTATTATATGTGTATTTTTTTGTTTCTGATTTCTTTTTTGGTAATTGTTATTTAAAATTGTGTTAAATTATGTAGACTGCTAGCATGATATTTCTTGATGCACCTGTTGGCACTGGTTTCTCTTATGCAAGAACCCCTGGAGGTTGGCCTACATCAGACACAAAATCAGCTGAACAGTCGTACCAGTTCCTCAGGAAGGTGAGTTAGAAAAAAAGAAAGAGCAATTTCATTACTATTACAGCAGACAAAACTTACAGAGGGATATAAACAATCAATTTGATCATGCAGGCAACACTAATTGTGAGAGATTATGTATGGAGACGAGGGTTTTAATTTTTACATATCAGCCGTCGTATCGGCCAATATGTATTGGAATTTGGTACTTCCAATATTGATATTCACCGATATATCAGCCGATACTATTTGACTTGGGCCGATATATGATCGTATTGCTAGTACCTACATATCCTGATCGTTGTTGTCAAATCGGGATACGAATCGTGTATTGTTTTTTAATTTTTCTGAATCGCATATCGTAAAATGTTTTAATACCTTTAGAAATAGGTAAAAAAATGAGTATAGTTATAAAAAACAAATATCTTATGAGAATAAAATACTAAACAATATATAATTCGGTCAATTGCAAAAGCAAAGTTCCTTAAATTAAATATATACATGCAGCAATACATATTATCTTTGTAAGGCATAAATTAATAAAGCAAGATTCTTAATACAATACAATAGATATGTCAAAAGGGTAAAAGTAGCTTCTTTTTTTTTGACAAGCTAATGAAAATTGATATTCACCGATATATCAGCCGATACTATTTGACTTGGGCCGATATATGATCGTATTGCTAGTACCTACATATCCTGATCGTTGTTGTCAAATCGGGATACGAATCGTGTATTGTTTTTTAATTTTTCTGAATCGCATATCGTAAAATGTTTTAATACCTTTAGAAATAGGTAAAAAAATGAGTATAGTTATAAAAAACAAATATCTTATGATAATAAAATACTAAACAATATATAATTCGGTCAATTGCAAAAGCAAAGTTCCTTAAATTAAATATATACATGCAGCAATACATATTATCTTTATAAGGCATAAATTAATAAAGCAAGATTCTTAATACGATACAATAGATATGTCAAAAGGGTAAAAGTAGCTTCTTTTTTTTTAACAAGCTAATGAAAATTTTTGACAATATTAATTTACATAAAAATAATTTGAATTTTTTTTTCTTTAAATTTGCTACAGAAATTTAAGTATTTATGTACCATACATATCGCATTATGTATCACGTATCGTATATAACATCACATATTGCATACGTATCATAAGATACATTTAATTTAAGATATGTATTGATGATAGTATCGATTTCCTTTTGAAAGGTATCGAATCGTAAGGTACTTATTATGAATTGTAAGATACTGATCCTGATACCATTATTTAAAATCATTATGCAGATCTAGATCTGCATTATCTAACATTCTAAAAATCATCATGAACTATTGGGTTCCATTCTATCACGACTGTGTGTGGCAATGACCACTGCTACGGCCACTTTGCAAATTTTGTCAAAACTTTCTAGCCATGTCATGGAAGATTTGATTGTTAATGAACTTTATTTTTCTCAACATGATGCAGTGGTTGGTCGAACACCCACAATTTCTCTCCGTTCAACTATTTGTTGGTGGTGATTCTTATGCAGGCCTTGCTGTCCCATTGATCACTAAAAAGATAATAGATGGTATTTCAATTTCATGACTACTAATTCTACTTTGTTCAGTAAAAGCAATCTTTCTTTGAATTCTAGCTCACTCTTGGTGTTTGGTTTATGGACTTTTAGGTAACAAAGAAAAAGCCGAGCCATATATGAATATCAAAGTACATGACCTAATTAAAGACATGGATTGCTTTCAGTTAGTCTTTTTGGCTATTGCAATTTATCGTTGCATTATGTTTCTGAGTGATTTAAATCAATGGTCTTTGTAATGGTATCAGGGATACTTGGTTGGATGCCCAGGGACTGATTCAGTTATTGATGGGAACTCAAGAGTAGATTTTGCTCATAGAATGGCACTTATATCGGATGAGATCTATGAGGTAAATCAAAATCTTCCGTTGTAATAAGTCACATTATATCTGTTAGCTTGATATGCATTGTTGGACCGATTTCCTATTAGCTTAAGCTTTTGGGACAATTGGTGACTTGACCTGGTATTAGAGCTCTGGTTTTAGGAGATCATGGGTTAAAGTCTTGTTGCCTCCATTATCTTTGTCATTGTGAACTCTGTTTTGTCTATCTTCGTGGATCTTGTTTGTCAATTTATTTGCCTATCCACGAGCGTGATGGGGTCACATGTGAGGTGGAGTGTTAGCTTGATATGCATTGTTGGGCCTATCGGCTTAATCTTTTGGGATAATTGGTGACTTAAGAATGTCCCCCTTTTTTCTTTTTTCTTTTTTTTTCTTCCTGTTTTTGTGCTGTGGGTCAGTGAACTGGGGAAGGGGGGAGGGAAGTGGATCTTCTCTGTTAAAAGGTATAAAGTAAAAATAGGGACTTTTACATATGGGACACTTAACGAGCACTAATTTGTGGCCATATGAGGCATAATTGTATATAATCTACTATAATGTGAGAAGCTTTCTATCTTTGCCTGTATATGTTCAAGCTAGTGCACACATATGTTTATGATTTTGTGTTGTTAATCCTTCTTTGCTTATTTTTCCTTTAATATCTGTTGCCTCTTGAGTGATGCTTTTGCATGCAAAACAATTACTATCTTTATCACTGAAAGTCAAATTTTAGCAAATAGAAAGTAATTGTAATGGTTAATATTATTCCTTTTACAAGGTTTGTTGTTATTCTTACCCTTGTGATAATTGTAATGGTTAATGCTTTTCCAGAATGCGAAAAGAAGTTGCAATGAGAACTATATAAATGTAGATCCAGCAAATACGGCATGCATAACTGCTATGGGTGCTGTACAAAAGGTTAGAGGAATTAAAGTACTTCTGAATTCTGGTACATAATGTATGTCCATCAAGTTCTGCAGGCTTAGAAGTTGAGACCTATTTGAATTTGTAGTGTCTGGAAGATCTGTCTGACAAAGATATTTTGAAACCCAAGTGCGATTTATCATCCCAAGATCATCCAGAAGGCCCAGACCGAAGATTTCTAAAAGAAGGTTCTTCAGAGTTCCTACTCTCGCCATCAACGTTTCCAAAATCTTGGTGCACTGTAATCTCTCTCTCTCTCTCTTTCTGATTACAGCTTGTTTATGAGATGTAAAGAGAGATGGGTTGCTAATTTTAGTTCTTTAACAGACTTTGAAGCTTACACACAATAGCATTTGGGCAAACGATGATGGTGTTCAAGAAGCATTACATGTTCGGAAGGTATGTATTGTAATGCATACAATAATTTCATAATGAATGTAAACAAAATCTCACTGAACAGTCTCAGATATTGTAATGATGGAAATCAGGGAACTGTACCACGTTGGGAGAGGTGCAACAACAGCTTATCATACACCAAAGATGTTTCGAGTGTTATTGCTGTTCATAAAGAACTAAGTAGATCATCCTTGGAAGTACTTGTAGAGAGGTCAGTATATACACGTGGCTTGTACATGCCCTTCACTAAATTGATTTTTTATTACGAGGAACCCCGACCCTACCTTCAGTGAGACCTGGGATAAAACCATGGATATGTGAGACCACCCTCTTAGCCTCACATGTTGTGCAACGTAGGGACACGAACCTAAGACCCCTTGGGCCCCGTTTGTTTGGAGAGTTAGTGGGGGGATTGGGATTAGTAGTGAGGTGGGACCTACTAATATTGTGTTTGTTTTGAGAGATGGGGAGGGGATTGATAGTGAGCTCCGGATTAGGATGGGCCTCCGCTAACGGATTCGGATGGGCCTCCAGGACTTGGTATTAGAAAAATAGTCCGGCGAACTAGAAATTTTTTATTTTTATTTTATTTTTATTTTATTTTTTACATGCCGGGCATTTTTTTTGAACATTAATATTTAATTTTTTGTATTTTTTGTTAAGTAAAAATCATTATTTTATTTGTTTTATTTTTTTCTGAAATTATTTTATTTTATTTTATTTTTATTTTTTAAAATTTTTTTACATGTTGGACATTTTTTTTAAAACATTAATGTTTAATATTTTTGTATTTTTTTATTTGTTTTATTATTTTATATTTATTTTATATAAAAATAATTTAACAATCCCTATACTAACAACTATCATCAAAACAAACACAATTTTACTTAATCCCCTCACTAACAATCCCTTCGCTATTAATCCCCTCACTATCAATCCCCTTCATTCTACCTCTGAAAACAAACGGGGCCTTAGTGGGTTACTGTTGGAATTAGGAAATAGTGATATTATAATTATGGTAGTGTTGGAATTAGGAAATTGTGATATTGTAATTGTGGTAGTGTGTATAAAATCTATGATTGTGTCAATCACAGATTTAATATCTTTTTTTATCTTCGTTTCCTATTTTGTTCGTTTCCTATTTTGTAATATTGTTTCATTATAAATACAAGGCTCTACCTCATTTATAGGCAAGCCAAATAATTTTTTTTATTCTTTTTGGTATTAGAGCCAAAACACAGAAACCCTAGACCACCACTTCCTCCCTGTTGGCCCCTATTCTTCACTGCCCAGCAGTTTCTTCATCTTCTTTCTTCTTCTTCCAGCAGCCAACAGACCTCCTCTCCCCTCTAGACCACCTGACAGCCTAACTCACCACTCCTAGACCACCCGAAACCACTTACCCACCCTCCTGTACCCCTCGACAAGATTGTATTACACCTGTCGAGGGCCTTGCTGCTGCCAACCAGGTCTTATCTTGGCCTAGAGTACTTCGACCAGGTCTTCCCCTGGCCTAGATTGGTTCGACACCCTTTTGAGGGTGGTCTAAACCCTTTTTTTCTCTTTTACAGTATGTAGTGCTAATGCTTTAAGCACTTTTCTGAACCTCTTTTTTTCTTTTTTTTCTTTGTGGGCTACCTTGTTTATTCGGTAGCATTTAGCCGTTGAGTTTTTTTCGGCTTTTCTAGTTGTTTACTCGGACTGTGTTGCTGTATTGCTATCTATTTCAACCCTCATCATCTCCCTGTGGATAACTTATCTTCTACCATTCCTACTGAGGTATCTACTGCGGTCTCCACCAAACATGTGCCTGTTCTAAGTACTGATTTTTCTCTTTCCCATCACACTTCTATTCATCGTATTATAAGTGTGGTGTTGAATGGGAAAAATTTTGCTGCTTGGAGCCATTTCCTTAAACTCTGTCTTGGGGGAAAGGGAAAGGGAAAGGGAAAGACCCATTGGCTTTTATCTACTATTACCCCATTAGCTGTGACAGACCTTACATGTGCTCAGTGGAATATTGATAACTGCACTATATTGGGATTGATGTTCAATTCCATGGAAGATCGGATTTATCATATGTTTCTTTACTGCGATATAGTTCCAAGTTTGTGGCAGGCATTGTCACAGATGTACGCTTATGCTCACAATGATGCACGTATCTTCGAGCTTCACCAAGATATAGCCCGGGCCTCTCAGTCCTCTCTTGGCCTTTCTGTAGCTGAATTTTCTGGATATCTTTAGGCTCTTTGGGAGGAACTTGCTCAATATGAGCCTTTGACTGACCTTCCACTAGAAACCGCCTCTCTTGTGTCCAAGAGGCTTGCCTGACAACACACTTATCAGTTTCTCATGGGTTTAAACTCTGAATTTGAATCCCCTCGAATTCAAATTCTAAACACATCACTCATGCCATCTCTTTGAGGCTTTTGCCACTATTGACAGTGATGAGCGTCACCGGCGATTGGTTCAACCTAGTGTTCCTTCAGTACCTCCAGTTTTAGCAGATCAAATGGCTTTTGTTGCGAGTTTTGGTTCTCTGAGTTCCACCGATTCTGTTGCTTGTCATCATTATGGTGCGCCTGGACATGTCAAAGCTCGTTGCTTCAAACTTCATCCTGAGTTGAGGCAATGCCCTTCCTGTCCTCGTGGTCCTACTACATGTGGTTTTGGCTCTGCTCGCACTACTGCTTTGATAGAAGTTACTTCTGCTTTTGAGCCTCCTAATGTCCCTAATCTACAGCAGTTACAGACTCAGATTGGTCAGCTTCAGGCCCAACTTGGGTCTCTCACCACTGGTTCTCTTGGTCTATCATCCTCTACTGCTACTCTTGTTACAGGTGCTTCTACTGCTTTCCATGTTCGGTTTGCTAGTCCTTTATGGATTTTGGATTATGGGGCTATTGATCATATGACTGGTGAGTTTTATTTTTTTCCCTCTCCTGCACTCACCATTGTTGCCCAATCTGTGTGTCTTGCTGATGGTTTTTGCTCTTCTGTCCAACATAAGGGTGTTGTATCTTTATCTCCTGATATCACTTTATCTTCTGTGTTGTATGCTCCCAAGTTTGCTTATAATCTCTTATCTGTTAATCATCTTGCCAAAACTTTTAATTGTGCCGTCATCTTTTTACCTTCTTTGTGTCTTTTACAGGACCTAAGAGAATTTTTGGCAGGGGATATGAGCGCGATGGGCTGTACTACTTTGGGGATCCATCAGACCAGCCTTCTTCGACTTTCGCTAGTTTTCAGGCGTCTATTTTGCCTACTTCTATATCTTGTATTTTTTTTGTTCAAACTTTAGAGTTATGGCACGCCCGTATGGGACATGTTAACTTTCAATATTTATGTCAACTTTTCCCGTTATTAAATAAAGCTTGCAAGGATTCTATATTTCATTGTGTTACTTGTGAGTTGTCTAAACATATCCGTACTAGTTATATACCACATATGACACGTGCCCCTTGTGCTTTTGACCTTATTCATTCTGATGTTTGGGGTCCCTCCCCGGTTCTTGCTTTTTCTGGTCATCGTTATTATGTGACTTTTATTGATGATCACACTAGGTGCACTTGGGTTTATTTACTTCGTCACAAGTCTGATGGGTTTCCCATCTTTGTTCAGTTTGTGCAAATGGTTAAGACACAATTTTGTACCATTGTTAGGAACATTCGCTCTGACAATGGTGGGGAATACATCTCCAATGAGTTTCGTTCTCATGCATTGTCTTCTTCGTGGTATGAGTGCACCCAAGTCTTATTAGCACATGGTTGTTCTTACTATTGTCTATCTCATTAATAGGACTCCTAGTTGTGTGTTACATGGCCTTGCTCCATTCCATATCCTTATGCCTAATACTACCCTTTTTCCTCTTTTGTCTTGTGTTTTTGGGTGTACATGTTTTGTTCAGAACCGGCATCTCACTCGCACTAAGTTAGATGACAAGTCTATTTGTTGTATCTTTTTGGAGTATTCTTTCATGTCTAAAGAGTGTAGATGTTTTAATCCCGTGTCTCGTCACTTTCACCATACTCTAGATGTTACTTTTTGTGAGGATCTTCTTTTTTTTAGTCCTAACCCCCCGTTGCAGGTTTCCCCCTCAAATAAGTGTTTGCCCAGTCCCCATTTTGGATGAGGTTGCGGATGAGGTTGACCCTCCCTCTCATCCTCCACCTTCGCCTCCTTCCCCCATCCCCTGCAAGCTGCAGGTATACTCTCGCCACCTTTGTGCTTAGCCCCTTCTTGCCACCTCTCCGGATCTTAGGTCAGGTAATTCTTCCCCTTTACATACGTCTCCTTTCTTTTCTCGTCGTAATCCTCATCGGGATCGACATCTCCCCAACCGTTGGGGTTATCTGTTAGTACTAATCATCCCATTTCCTAATATCTCTCATATAACAGGGTTTTCGACTCATATCATTCTTTCCTTGGCAAGCTTGAGTTTGAGTCTATTCCTCAGTTAGTGCCAAAGGCCCTTCAGAATCCGAAATGGGTGGAGGCAATGTAGACTGAAATGGCAACTTTAGAATAGAATCATACTTGGGATTTGGTTCCTTAACCTTCTGGTGAGAGTACCGTGAGTTGCAAATGGGTCTTTGCTATTAAGTACCTACTTGATGGCTCCGTTGACCGTTATAAGACCCGTTTAGTGGCCAAGGGCTTCACTCAAGTTCTTGGAAAGGATTTTGGTGCTATCATTGCACCAGTTGCCAAGCTTACCTCTTTTTGTCTTCTCATTTTTCTTGTAGCATCCCATTCTTAGCCCCTTTATCAGCTTGATGTCAAGAATGCCTTTCGGCATGGAGATCTTCTTGAGACGATTTATATGGCACCTCCTCCTGGTGTTCGAGCTGATGGGGAGTATTCGGGGCAAGTATGTCGACTGCGCAAGTCTTTGTATGGCTTGAAGTAGTCTCCACGAGCTTGGTTTGGTCGTTTTAGCTCAGTCATCATCTCCAAGGGCTTTGTTCAGTGCTATTCAGACCATACTTGCTTCATCCGTCATAATTCTGCAAGTCAGTGTATAGTCTTGTTGGTGTATGTGGATGATATTATTCTCACCAGTGATGACTCTATAAGCATTGATAAAGTAAAATGGGATTTGGGACACACCTTTGATATTAAGGATTTAGGGAATCTCAAGTATTTTCTAGGGATTGAGGTAGCTCGCTCACAGCAAGGGATTTCCTTATCTCAAAGGAAGTACACTCTTGACTTACTTAAGGATACTGGCATGTTGGGGTGTAAACCTGCTTCTACTCCTATGGATCCCAATATCAAGCTCACATCAGAGTTTGGTGAATTATGTTAGGCGTCTCATCTATCTGACCAATAGTAGACCTAACTTGTTAGTGTGGTTAGCCAATTCATGCATGCACCTCGTACAGAACATCTTGATGCAGTTCATCACATCTTGAGTTATTTGAAGACCTCTCTTGGCTTGGGATTGTTCTTCACAGCTGATCCTCAATATGGACTCTCCTGTTTTATTGATATCGACTATGCAAGATTTAGAACGGATAGGTATTCTACTTTTGCCTTATACACTTTCTATGGTGATCATCTTATATCATGGAAAAGTAAGAAGCAAACAGTTGTTTCTAGGTCTTCTGCAGAAGCTGAGTATAGGGTTATGGCATAAGGCACTTGTGAGATTATATGGCTGCGTTCTATTTTGGCAGAGTTAGGATTTGAGGATACTGCTCCTGCTTCTTTGTTTTGTGACAACAAGTCTGTTATTATGTTGTCTTCTAATTCTATCCTACATGAGCGTACTAAGCATGTAGAGGTTGATATACATTTCATTCGAGAGAAGGTTCGGATTGGTATTGTGAGATCATCCTTTGTCTCTTCTTCTTAGCAGTTAGCAGATATGTTCACCAAGTCTGTAGGTCCAACATTACTCCAATCGTCACACTAGCTTGAGGGAGAGTGTTGGAATTAGGAAATAGTGATATTATAATTATGGTAGTGTTGGAATTAGGAAATAGTGATATGGTAATTATGGTAGTGTGTATAAAATCTATGATTGTGTTAATCACAGATTTAATACATTTTTTTATCTTCGTTTCCTATTTTGTTATTTTCCTATTTTGTAATGTTGTTTCATTATAAATACAAGGCTCTACCTCATTCATAGGTAAGTCAAATAATTCTTTTCATTTTTTTTTACGTGGGGACTTACCATTCAAGCTATCCCACAGAGGTTCACTACATTGTTCTTGTGATAAATATTCATAATTCTGTTGACCAAATATACTATACACTTACATAAAAAATATAGATAAAATTGCAAGAAACAAGAGTATCTATTTTATTTTTTTTGATAAATAACCACACTTTATTAAAAAAGTATCAAGATGATGCAAAGAATACGAAAATAGAAGCCACAAAGGCTTAACAGATTAACAAATCAAATCCTTCACAAAATCTACAAAGGCTAAAATATCAGGATCAACTAAACTTGCCACCCAACTATACAAAACCATAAGCAGCCGTCGTTTTAAACCAACCATACAAGACAATGAGAAGTAAGCATCCACATTTCTGACGCCTTCTCCCAACTCGACCCCCAATCCAACTTTGCAAAACTATCTTAATTGAGTCCGGCTGCACAGAAGCCAAGCCCAAAGTCGCAACAAGAAGCATCTAAAGTTGAGAAGTAATCGGACAACGAACCAGTAAATGATCCACCGACTCCACGTCACCACAACATAAGCAACACCAATTGACCAATATGTGGCACGACAAATTAAATTATCCAAAGTCAAGATATGCCCCAACATGGCTGTCCATACAAAAAAGGCCATCTTGGATGGCATATACAACACCCAAACACATTTCCAAGGGAAAACAACTGCCTCCTCATGAACATGCACACCATAATACGAAGATATGGAAAACTTTCCCTTAGCCCCAGGACAATCCCACACCAAAGAATCCTGCCCAACCCCCCCAACTCGCAACTCATATAAAAAACTCAACAGCTCCACCAGTTGATCTTGCTCCCAATCCTGTACATCGCGGCGCAAACGCACATTCCAAACAGTCAGTCCCGTGCCCAGACCAACTATTTAGCAACTACTAATTATTTAGCAACTATTAATATTCTAGACCAACTATGACTTCGAATTCTACTTTAATCGTAATAGGAAATTTTAATGACTTCTAATTCTACTTCAATATCAAAATAGAAAATTTGGACTTTTGACCACCTAGATTATTTTAGACATAGCGGATGTTTGGAAATTTGCTATTTTAGTAGTCTATTTTAGTTTTTGGTTATTTTAGTTGGCTAAAATTTTTGTGTTTAGGAAGATAGTTGAATTTTTTTATAGTTGGATGTGATGTTTGTGAGAGAAAAAGTGAAATGATTATGAATTTGATGTGACATTTTGTCTTATTGACTATTTTAGCTTATTTTGTTTTTTTGTGAATTTTAACTTAAAAAACCAAAAAATAGCCTTTGTCAAACACTTCCATAATAAAACTCATATATAATGACCCATTTAATAACTTGACCCAAAATAATAAAACCCATGGGTGACTCCTACAACCAATATCTAATAATTATTGAAATTACTATTATATCTTTACTTACTGAAACCTACTATAATGTACTTCATGTGAAATTTCAGATTTGCTCTTTTTCTTCTTTCCATGATCTTCATCACTAGACTAGGCATGTAAATCGGCCCACCTGGGTTTTGGCATGAGCCTAGCCAGCTCAGACCTAATTTCCAGAAACTCCGGCCCAAGCCTAGGCCAATCAATTACTTGTGAATTTTATAAGAATACCTATAACTTCCAAGCTTGAGGATTTTTTCTGGTCTAATAGTCTGAAATACTCTGCTGCTATCAACATAATCAAGCAAAGCTGGCTTTTAGTCAGTATTATTCCTACTTTGCTCACTAATATTTTTCTCTTTTTCAATAGTGGTGATCATGACATCTCTGTTCCTTACATGGGTACCTTAAAATGGATAAAGTCTCTCAATTTGACCCTCGTTGACGATTGGAGGCCTTGGTTTGTTGATAATCAAGTTGCTGGGTGGGTGCTTTATTTTTTTCTCAAAAATTTGCAACATTGTTAAGTTGGTAAGCCATCGACGTTTCTATTCACAGTGCTTGTTAGTGCAGATACACGATGAAGTATTCAGAGGAGCATGGATATCACTTGACTTTTGCAACCATAAAGGCAAGAAATATCTTTTTGTTACTTTCTTTAATATATATATATATATATATATATGCTATGGAACTGAAAATTAAAGACAATTTGCAAAATCTAATATTTATGCTTTGTATATATGTAGGGCGCGGGTCACCCTGCTCCAGAGTACTATCGCAGGGAATGTTATTGTTTATTTGACAGGTGGATTAATTATAATCCTGTTTAGTTAAATACTTGCTAGCTGCTTCAAGTTTGATCTTGTTTTTTGTACCACGATGTTGAAAACTTTGAACAACTAATAGTAATAGTTCAGAAGAAGAATGTTGTTGTGTCTGTTTTTATAGATGATGTCTATTATACTATTACTCATTTAACATCTATGCCAAACTTCCCAAAACCTTTGATTTATTGTACTTGATGTAATTTTCATGTTTTTGGAGAAATTTCATGTTTTTTTTTTTTTTTTCTTCTTTCTCTCGTCCCCTTCAAATGCTAGTGGTTGGTTGTCAGTGAAAACACACACAATCGTAGATGTGCTTAACTACTATTCAAATCTCTCTCTCTCTCTCTCTCTCTCTCTCTCTCTCTCTCTCTTGTAGTCCTATGTCTACGAAGACTTCGACTTCTCAAATTTTACAAGTGAACCCACCATTTGAACAACACAACTTATTGAAGGAATGGTGGAACCAAACAAGAACTTTAGCTGGATCTATACTGGATATATAATACTGGCCCACTTTTAGTTTTTTCTTGTCTTTATTGTATGGTTTAATTATCTAATTTTGATGTTGTTCTTTTTGACAAAAATATATAAAAACAAGCTAAGTAGTGGTACACACAATATTTTCTAAGCCTAATACAATTAATTAGATGATAATTATCCTCTATTTTTAAGGCTAAGTAGTGGGGGGGGGGGAATGTTTTTGAAAATACAAATTGCCCAAATTATTTTAAAATTTCACTTAAAAAAATTCAAATTCAAAATTCAGGAACTATTTTTAAAATTTACAAAACCAAACAGAGTTGCAATTATGGTAATAAAAAAAAATTGAGAAAATTATAAAAAAAATTCCAAGAGTTTAACCCTAATAACAAATCAAAACCACAAATTTTAATTTTATCAATTTAAATTATATATTTTTGAAATAGTTTCAATCCTAGCCATCAGTCAAACAAATTATGAATTTTTTATTTTATCAATATAAATTTAAATTTTATTTTATCAATTTTTTATTTTATCAATTACAGTGTTAAAATTTGATTTTTTTTAAAACCAAAATAAATTAAAATCTAAAATTTGTCATGTACCCATGCCTAACAATAATAATAAGTAGATGGTTGTCACATCGTCTCTTTACTTTTTTACACATACTAAGGTCTCGTTTGAACAGTTGAATATTTTAATTTGACTAAATTTTTGCATTGATGCTGATGAAATTGGTATTTTGTGAATTTTGTATTTGATTTGAGCTTATCTGATGTATGATTAATTTTTTTTTTTTTTTGGTTAGTCAATGTAACAGAGTTTGATGGATGGTTAGGATTGAAATGAATTTAAAAGTATAGGGCTTAAATTGACAAAATTAAAATTCTAAGGTTTGAATTATTATCAGGTCAAACGCTGATTATTTTATTTTATTTATTTATTTTTTGTAGTTTTCCCAAAAATATCTTATTTGAAGAGACTTCATCCAAAAAGCCACGTGTGTATACAGTGTGATGTTTTGAAAAATTGGTAAAAAGTTGACTTTTTGACTTTTTAATTTTTTGATTTTTTGGTGACTTTTTTGGCAAAAAAACTGATTTCTTTGACTAAAAAAAGCTAAAAAGCCAAAAAAATTTAACTTTTTTAGCTTCTTCCCAAAATGCCCTAGTATCATATATAATATATATTCAAAATATTCCAAGAATTGACACATTATAAAATGTTAGGTTGGTGACATGACTTTCTGGTATGGTTCACTCTCCAAAACCGCCCACCAACCAACTGTACATTTTTGCAGTTAACAACACCTTTTCAACCCCAATGTTAGAATTGTGGTTAAGACAATTTCAGTACTGAATAGGTATATGCATTTGTAAAGAGAAGATATCATATAACTTGAACTGTATAGCCATCAAAGTAGCAACTTTTTTTTGAGGGGCAAAACAATAATGTCTTCTTTTTCAAGCAAATGCTTGTGTTTGCATTTGTTGATTTTACTGGCTTTCACTGGAGCTGCACTCTCCGGCTGGATTGTGATGACTCTACCAGGCTTTTCCGGCGATTTACCCTTCACTCTAGAAACAGGGCAAGTGTGTTTCTTATCTGTTTGAGGTCAATATCGAGTAGAAATTATCATATTGGTCCAAAATGCTACGTGTTTGTCTGCGTGACCAATAAACACAACTCCTGTTATTAGACATGAACATAGTCAACATAGTTCCTGAAAAACTGCATAATTACTCTCATTCGTCACGGCTTATAATTTCCATATAAAAACTTTGGCAAACTTCACTTTACTTTTTTGTGATTTTCTCCTTATCATTTGAAAATAATCACATAACTCTTATGTCGTTTGCGGACTAAAGTGTATCGTCAAACATTTTATTTAAATTAGTAGTAAGTGTAAAATGGTAACAGTAAGAGTGTTATGTGCTTATTTCCAAATGCTAGGGTAAATTGCATACAAGGGGTTAAATTCAATTTCACTTTCGATAAAATGACAGAAATATTTGTAATTTGCACAATGAGATTACTTATATATAAGGATATTTTAGTCTTTTCACTTAAACTTTCAATGAGACTAATACTTTAGTTCACTAATGGGTTAATGGGGGGTTTTGTTTTGTAATAATTAGATATGTAAGTGTTGATGAAATCGAGTTTTTCTACTACTTTGTTGAATCGTCATAGGGTCACTTGGGAGTTGACCCGCTAATACTGTATCTGAATGGAGGACCCGGTTGTTCCGGTTTGAATGGCCTTTTCTACCAATCTGGTATCTCCCTCTCTCCTTATGTTCTGTTTTGTTTTTATTTATTTATTTATTTTTTCAATAGGCGAGAAATCTGCACTCTTAGGGTGCATGTATAGGTGTTGAACAAGCACAATTTTCTCAGAAAAGTACATAGAACAGATTGTTAGAAGCATTGCACTTATCGTGGGGTGTGAGTCCATCTAAGATGAAAGTAATGATGTCAGGAATGGGTGGCGTTGTGGTTAAGGCTTGGGATTTAAGCCCCAGGTCACAGGTTCAATTCTCTTCTCCCTAGACCAATCTCCTAGACGAAGCACAATTGGTTAGGAGGTTAGACCTCAAGTTATCTAATCAGCACTTGGTGTGGGTTCAATGCTCTCCCACTGTGCAAGTCTTGACTTAAGCGAAACTTGTCTTGGGAGGTCGGGTCAAGTTCCCAGTTTAAAGTCTCCTCGCTCAGAACGGCTAAGAGGACATCCTGATAATCTCTGCAAGGGGTGTTGTTTTGGACCTACGGGAGGATAGGGAGGATTTTTCAGTAACAAAAAAAAAAAAATGATGCCAACATTACATTACGTGGTGTGAGATGATTAATTCCTATTTTTACTATTTGTCGGTTCTGAACCCTCACCTCACCACACCATGTACGTGTACTTTTTGTCTTTTTACGAAAAGATGTGTAGAAAAATAGAGAGGTGATATGATGGAAAAAAGATAAAAAGATGGATTATTTTGGTGTTGTCAAACTTGACCTTAATTGTCGGCGCATCTTGTGATGGGAAAAGAGGGGTGAATAGAAAAAATTGGAGACAAGTGATCCGATGTGACATTAAGTATACTTTTTAAAATAAGGTTTTCTCTTCTATTTAATTTTTTTGCATGAATGTACTTTGTGGTCATAATATTACATGAAGAGTGTATTTGCTTTGAGGGATTATTTTATGGGATTGGACTATTAGTCCATCCGGATTAATAGTCTATTATTTGGTTCAATTTTTTTGCTTCGGATTATTAGTCCCTCATATGAGGGATTATTATATCCTAGGAGGATGGGTGAAATTATTTCTATGGGATTGGTATCCCATGGGACTAATGTGTGAAATATCCATTTTATCTTAATGCTATTACTTAATGTCAAAGGTCACTTCTTTAAATGTCTTGGGTTTGTTGGGCATTAAACCCAGCTTATATGGACCCTTTTTATGGGCTTTAGAATGCTGTATATATCATGGGC